GAGTAGTCAACCTGCCAGGCCTGTCCATAGTTACATTTCAGCCATCGCCCCCCGTACCAGAGAGGCTTTACCCTCTTGGCCTGTTTGATGGCAGCACGTCTCACATTCGTGAATGACCTGTGCAATAGCGTCTATGGTCAAGTCCACCCCTCGGTCACGAGCCCATCTGTACGTGGCATCTCTCCCTTGGTGGCCCGAGGTGTCATGGGCCCACGGAGGTGTCATGGGCCCACCGAGCCATAAAGAGCTCACCTTTGTGTTGCCAGTCCAGATCTACCTGAGCCACTGCAGTCTTACCATCTTGAAGTTCAAGTCCAGGATCTATTAAGCTGTCCTAGTGTAAAATGAATTATAGCACGACATGTCTGCCACAGGTCACTCAAAAGTGGAGCACATGGTAGTTTGATTATTTTGGCAATACAACTAGTACTGCTAGGAGACAGACAAAGCATGCAACTCATGCACAGAGATCCAGCTGCTACTGATTGTTGTAGTGATCAGGGAAATGCAGTGCTGAAAGAGATTCTGAATCTGTCAGTTTGCTTTTTATTATTGAGATTAAGGTAATCGATGCAAAACAAGCCCAGTAGTCACTTACACTCTCAATTATATCAGTAGTGCATCATGCTGGTTAGGTATTGAAGATACAGTTAATCCAGCCCTAGGGAAGACATATTCTTTCAGCCTTGATGAGCCCTTCATTAGTCACCTGTAGTGTGTTTACCTTGCTGACTTCATAGCACTTTAGAGAAATCTGGTTTAAATATGTTTGCATGGAGCTCTCTGTGGTTTGATCTGTAAGGATTTGTGAGCCTCTGATGAGTGTTTTGCAATACTGCTGGATGCTTTCCAGAAGCTGAGCTAGTTCAGGGATCTCTAATTGCTGTTAACACTCTAAAGAGTACATACATAATACCAACAAAGATGGTGCTTTAATGATGTTACACGCTGGCGAATTCTTAGACCAGCACTTCCAGAAACACAATCTTGTGAAGATAATCCTTCAAGAATTAAAAGAAGGAATGCAATTCCCATAGGGTGGGAAAAAAAAATCATAGATGCTGTAAGGTGAATGATAAGACAAGAAGCCTTTCTTTAAGCCCTGGTTTGTAAGCAGAACCTCTTAAAGACCTGTAGATGTCATTTTTCCTTGGTAGCATAAGTGACTTGTTAACAACAAAAGATGCTCACAGAACAAATGATTCTTTTCCCCCAATCTCCCTGTTCAGAAACCAATAGATATACATTGTCACTGTAATCAATTCCTGCCTCAAAAATGCTTTCTAGCTGAGAAGCAGAAAAGCTTGTATTTGTAAATCCTAGATTAGCCTAATAATCTTTCCTGGTTGGGGTCTCTGAAGAAACTTTGCTGGAGATTGTGTTATACAGTAACCACTCTCCTCAAGCATTTTGTACTTCCTAATTTAGTATCTGCATTGGCTGTGGTTAAAGATGAGGTAGATTGTCCCATTTCATAGAATCACAGAATGGTTCGGGTTGGAAGGGACCTTAAAGACCATCTAGTTCCAACCCCCCTGCCATGGGCAGGGACACCTTCCACTAGACCAGGTTGCTCAAAGCCTCATCCAGCCTGGCCTTGAACACTTCCAGGGATGGGGCATCCACAGCTTCTCTGGGCAACCTGTTCCAGTGCTTCACCACCCTCCCTGGGAAGAATTTCAATGTGGAGGTTCATGTATCTGCCAGTAGACTTCACAGCACTGTATGTCCTCTCTATTTTCACATTGTTTGTTTCAAAGAAGTAAATTAATAACACTTTTTTTCCTCCTTTAGAGTTTAGAATTCTGTTCCCTCAGCTCACAGGGATTCTGACACTTGCCTTCTTCATCCACAATTGTGTCATCACACTTCTTCAAAATAACAGGAATCAAGAAAACAATGTAAGTAATTTCACAAGACCGTGCTGATTTGTATCTAGATTGTCAGGCAACACTAATTTTTCCTGTTTGCTTCTCTTGAAATCGATCCAGGGACTGTAATAGCTTCAGAAAGTGTAACTCACTCTTGCTATCTGACAGAAACCAGTTATACATACTTTTCACTGACTACCAGTGAGTAACAGATGTATTACAGATTATTAAAATGAAAGCCCTGAGGAGTGTCCCAGACATATTTGTGGTCAGGCTGATATTAATACGACCAAATTACACACAAGCGTCAGAAGGCTTGAAGACTCTAGAAAAACTGACCCATTTTAGAATCCAAAACGCTGGAGAGTACTGGGCACAGGACTGATTTTATCAGAGTCCTGAACAATAGTGTTGAGGTCTAGATAGTGTCTTTCTTCACAGTTCCTTCAGTAGTTTTGTGTCACAGTCCAAGCTAAGGCTAAATAGCCTAACCCTCATTAGGAAATCCTCAAAGTTGAAGCCTGGATCGGGAACCTTTGTGATATGTAACCTCTGGACTGCTCCTTTGCCCTTGGTGAAGTTATGTACTGCTCATCCAGAGGGAATTGCATTCTTTCGTAGCATCTTCTTATTATAAGATACAAAATAGTGTAAACGTGATACAGAATTAGAATCCTAGAGCACATTCTTACTGCCATTATTTTGATTATTTGATTTTTTCCTCCCTACTTTCCAGAATTCATGTCCAGCTTCATTAAAATCTTTGCAGCAAAAGTAACTACAATAACCAGTATTTTTAAATATTAGCTGGATGAAAAACTGGTACAGAATCCCAGAATAGTTGAAGTTGGCAGGGACCTCAGGATGTCATCTTGTCCAAACCCCTGCTCAAGCAGGGCCACCTAGAGCCTGTTGCCTACACAGCACATCACACAGAATGTATCTGATTTAATTATTCAGAGGTGAAGTGCAGTAAGTTTGTTTTAGTAGTCTGCATAGTTACTTTTTTGTCCCTGCGAACCAAGTGACCACCTCTGCAAATCAGTCATGAATTCTCCTCCAGGAAAGCTTCTTGGGTGTTACGGGCATTTCTGAAAATGGTTTAATGACTAAAGAGGGGGTTAGTGGAACTCTGGAGGAAGAAAACTAAGTTTCTTCCCAGTTTTCTTAAGATCTTATGATGTGGAAAAGGGCAAGATTTCTCTTCAGCTATGGCTTTAAAATTCTAAAGCCATGGCCACTGCAGCAATCAGCTCTGTGTGCAGACGAGGCCTAATGCCTCCACTGCCTAATGCCAGTCCTTCAAGACTTTTTCTGTGGCTTTTCCCCTCCATTTACATCGGAGCAAGCAATGCGAAGAACAGCACCTGAAATCTTCTCCAGCTTGCTTTTGATGTGTTAAGGTGGAAGAATCTGCTGCTTGCATTTGAATCAGCTTTTCTGCTCTCCTTGGAACTTAAGTTGAATTTCCAAGTCAGCCCTAGCAGGGATCCTAAGCCCTCAACAAGACTCTCATTCCAGAAGAGTGTTCAAATTGCATGGAAAGAGCACCTTTAGGTCAGGAAAGATTTGTAGTGGGAAACCAAATCTGCCTAGTTCTTCTAGGAGTTTTATTTGGCTAGTGATTTCCGTCCCTGTTTGTAGCTGTACTACAGCTGTACCACCGATACAAACAGTCTAGGTGGAAGGAGCCTTTCACCTAGGTCGCAAAGTGCTTTGCAAATGTTGATGAGGCACTGATGCTCTTGAAGGGCTAACTCCTTTGTGATTATTTCACTAAGCTGCTAGACTTAAGTGGGAGGTTTACATATGTATGGGGGTCTCAGCCACTGTGTAACTCATGGTGTTGAGGGTATTTTTTCCTATCTGTTTACATCAACTAAATGCTTTCTTATATCAGTATCTCATGGGGAGTCGAGTCGCTTCCATCAGAGTTCTGTGAAGAGGCACAGTACTTGGCAAGCTGGAAAAGTACTGGTTTAGTTTCAAACAAAACTTGCTGAAACTCGTGGTCATAGGAACAACTCTTTGGGGAGGTGGAAAAACGTAAGAGAAACAATAACATTCCTTTTATGGAGTCAGAAATCCAAAACAATAGCAGCTTCCATTCTGGTCACAGGCGTGTATCACTGCCCAAAGCTAAAACACACGAGGGAGGATTCCTCTGG